GCTCTCAGAGGTGCCGTGGCCTCTCCCAGGTGGGCATCCAGGTGAGCTACGAGGACCTGTGCAGCGGGAAGCACCACAGCATCTGCAAGGCGTACGCCACCTTCGTGGCACAGAGCCCCTCCGGCGGCAAGGTGAGGAGGAGCGCGGCTGGTTCCGACACATGGATGGTGGGATGTACAGCGCTATAGGCGCCTGAAGGAGCCCTGCCTTGTCTCACAGAGGTACTGAACCCTGCCCGTGTCCCCCTTCACAGGTGAAGCTGAAGCCGCTGACGCCGCAGACGGAGGAGGAGAAGATCGAGCACAGCATCGCCGCCGAGCGTCGCCGCATGCGCCTGGTCCATAAGGACACCCTCAAGGCCCTCCGCCCCCGTGAAACTGGTACCGTGTCCTGCAGCACCGGGCTTCCAGCCCCAAAATAGCCCTGACACCCACTGATGACATCCTCCTTCCTCAGCGGGATGCTGGGGGGGAGCAGTGATTGCCGTGGAGGTTTGGGAATGCCCTGGCCACGGAGGGGGGGATCAGCCCCAGCATCCCAGACCTCCAAGCCAGGAGGTGTGGGGAGAGGAGGTGAGGGCTGGTGGGGTGCCAGCAGCTGAGCCCCATTATCCCCCCCATGGCAGAGCTGGAGACGCGGGACGGCAGCGTGGCGGTGCCGGCGGAGAAGACGCGGGTGGAGAGCGTGGAGCTGGTGCTGCCCCCACACGCCAACCATCAAGGCAACACCTTTGGTGGGCAGATCATGGCCTGGATGGAGAACGTGGCCACCATCGCAGCCAGGTGACCTGACCGAGGGATTTGGGGTTGGGGGGACACAGCCAGAGCAGCATCCAGCCGGGTCCAGCCACAGCTGGGTTGTAGGGACCCCCCAAAATGATGGTCCCCAGCACATCACCCTTGGGTGATGGGAGACCCATGGGTGCATGGTGCTGGAGCACCCGAGGGAAGGGTTCACACCCACCACAGTCTGCTTGTTGTCCCTTCTCACGGCTGGTTTTGGCGGCTGAAATCCAGGGGT